GTGGTAAGCACTGATCAGCAAACGATAGTAATTTTTGTTTCAAAATAGTTAGACTTTAGAAGGGTTCTGGGATTTTTTCATCATCCTGCGCTTCAGCAATGTTTAAAAAACCTTATACCAGGTTTTATTATCAAAATCATAATCTCAGTTAGAGGGCTAGGTTAATAAATGACACTAAAATTCCCACATCAATGCATCTAATTCTTATTCCAAACCCTCGAGCAATGGTTGTATGGCTTTAGGATCACAATTAATCTTTTCACCCAAAACTTCAACTTACCGTATCCACTGCAGGTTTGAACAATTCGTGCCCGTCGCTGACTTTGCCTTCAACGTCTTGCTTATCATGCTTGTCGGAATGGCAACTATCTATCACAACACTAGAGGAGAAACCGCTAAGTTAGTGAAGTCTAGAAAGTCTCGAGTTAGTTTTTTAAACAAACTGGAAAAAAAACATTGTGTAGATCGAAATCAAGCAGAATTTTGCTGGCGTTCTCAGCAAAGAAGAATCTGCGCAGATTGGTGCAGTTACCCAAAGATCCACAGTCTTGTATCACGTGTATGTTTGGCATGCGTTTTCTCTCCATGGTGTGGACTTTAATGGGACATTCATTCATATTTGTACAGGTAAGGCAGAGTTATTCTTAAAGTGGTAGAATTTTTCATTTGTCGATTGTAAGATTTCCTCTTGAAAAACCTTTTATTTGTTAAGGCATACCTCGAAAACGTTGATGAATTCAAAGATGCCATGGTTAATAATTTTTGGAACCAATGGATTACCAATTTCACACTCAGTGTTGACACATTCCTTGTGCTAGGCGGTACTGTACTATCCTATACATGGTTTAGAAAATGGTTGAAAAATACCACGGGTATGTTGTTTTTGATGATTTCTCGAAAATATACTTTTTCCTAAGAACTATTTTCAGAAGAGGAACCTAGCTGGACTTCTTATAGCTACTGGATGCGCTTTTACAGACATAGGGTTGTACGATTGTGGCCTGCATATTTGTACACGCTCATGGCAGTCACGCTTAGGATATCAGTAAGTTGACTGACTGGAATTTGGAAAGGGACGAGAATGATGTAAAACATGTTTTGAGGAATTCATCAGCAGAAAGAATAGCCAGAAATCAGGAAAAAATGCATTTATTCTGGCAATCTGTGCTCTATTCATATGTTATTCTTCTCTCAGTTATTGCTTTTTCAGATTACCCACTTCCACCCTATGTGGCCGCCAACTGACCCAGCTATTCAATGCCCTAAACATTGGTTTGAGAATGTATTCTTCATCAATAGTCTTTTTAACAATAGATGTATGCCTTGGACTTGGTAAGCCTTTGGAAATCCACTTTACTATCCATGACTCAGAAAAAATCTATAATCTACCCAATTCAGGTACATTGGCACCGAGTTCTTATTTTATTTGGTCTCACCAATCTTTTTGTTATCTCTAAGACAAGCACCAAAAATTGGAATGGTAAGATTCCCGAAGTTTTACTTTCTAGGTTTATCTACCGAAAATAGCCATTGTATTTAGGGTATATGTTTGGTTACAATACTTTTCTCTGCTGGATTAAATACCGTAAAACAAATCGAAAGCAATTTCCCACCCACGCAGTTCCTTTGGAGGCAACCAGAGATCTTCAATCCGAACTTTATCCAGGTAAACTTAGAAAAATCTCTTCTTCTTAGTTTTGTGAGAAATTCTTGGTTTCTAAAAGTATAATTCAGCACCACATTGAATTATATATCAAGCCACAGTATCGCATTGGGCCTTATATCATTGGAATCGTGCTTGGTTATTTCCTCGCCAATTACCAAAGAATGGCTGTCAAGCCAGCAAGAAGCGCTAAATTCGTAGGTGAGATTTTATAACAAATTCAACGTAAAATAGTACAAAGTACATACCTATCGTAAGTATCAGTAAGTAAGCGCATTAACCTTTGAAAATT